AGTAGTATAGCTACAGAGAAACTATGACACTTTTATGGCCTGTCCATCCTCAGTTCCTTCTCATGACCTCTAATGGCATCTTATAGGTCATTCTTCGTGCGGAAGGCCGAAGCCTCGTGGCCAGGATTATACAAATGTGTTTTGTTTGACCTCTAAAACATCCTGAGGAAGTTTTTAAGAGCCTCTGGATCGTCTTCATATTGGGAGAAGCCATTCGAATTTGAATTTCACGCGTTTGGAGATGAATGTTGAAGAGGTAGCTCAATATTGTTCCGCCAAATCCCTTCAGAATAACTTCTGCGATGTCTTTCAAGGTCATCCTTCGGTCACCACTTTTTGGAATGCGATTGATTGTTTTTTATGTCCCTAATTAGAGGAGGACGCCAATATTTGGTTGTTGTTTTCAACGTTTTTGAACTTTGGCCTTTTGAATGTTTTATGATGTAATTGAACGTTGGTCTTTTAGATTTTTGTGTAGATAAGAGGAAGCGTCACAAAACAGAACTGAACCTGCATAAATTTACTAGGAGTTCAAATTTTGTAGTAAATAAGCACTTCTATTTTTAAATGTAGTAATATGTACTAGTAGTTTCACGGGTTGCAGTAAAGTCGTTGTATTTACAAGTTTATTTCTCTTTCACGTTGTTCCATGCAAATCAGATCGAGTTTTTCCGCACATTTGATATGTCCATTATTTTTGTAATAGTCAATGCTGGCCGATGTAAAATATTTAAGAACCAAAAATGGATTATTAGTAACATAGATAAGTTGCAGGAACGTATTTCCCACCTGGTACTAAATTAGTTGGAATGCAATTAGCTCCGCCTTATTGGATCTCCCTTTGTAGGTAATTGCAAATTTTGTTGATTTATTTATAAAATCTAGTCACTCGTCGGTGAACGTTTCGTAAATTGGTTTTGGTAAAAATATTATGTTTTCTTCAGTGTCTAATGCGATTGCATCGCCATGACGCGTTTTTCTTCGTGTCAGATGAAGAATTGGATGCGGTTTGTTCAAGTATGTGCCAGAGCATAGCAAAGTTGTCAATGGTAGAGTAATTCATAACCTGCTCGCACAAGGCTCAAATTTTGAGGGAACATTCGTTCAACTGTTTAAAAAGTATATCTAAAAATCCAGAATATTCTAGCAGTTGCAGGTATATGCAAGGTGTGTATATAATAGTTATGGCGCTCGGTAGGAGTGCGAGCGCAATAGTACGGGTTTCAATTTTAGAAAGTAAGGTTATGATATATTCTATTGTAAAGATATGATGAAGGATCACCGAAATTAAAGATAAAAAGTTATATGTAAAGTATAAATTTTATTTATTTAACAAATATTNTCCTTTTCTAGAAAAGAAATAAAAACTTTTATTAATAACATGAAATGAAGAAAAAAAGATTTTACATACAAACATTATATGTACCCATAAAGAACAAAAATTATTTACCTGATTCTATGTCATTAGACTGATCAGATTGTAAAAGAGCATCATAAATAGATGGTGGCACAGTGTGACCATTATACCAGTTGTATATATATTTATTACCATCAATAATCCACCCATTATTTCTGCTGTTAACGTTGTAGGTACTTTAATATTGGCATTACTCCATATACTCGCTATATGTTGTGCGCGTAGAAAATGCTGATGTAATTCGGACCCACACGGTGGTAAATTTGATGAATCGTAATTTATATATTTTTTATTAAATGGCTCATCCACATTATTTGGTTTATAAGTGATGATGAACTTATCGTATCTTGTTTCGTTAACCGTAACTTCTTTGCTGCCATACATTTCACAGACAAATTTTTCAATAATTGGAAAAATTTCACTGCTGCGCCTTGTTATATAAGCACTTCGAAGTTGTTTAAAGGCTTTTTGATGTTCTAAATTCTTCTTAAGAATTGAAAAAGGCCGTTTTTTCCCTTTATTGAAAAATGATGGATTATAGTCACAACCGGTCAGTGCATGAAATCCTGGTAAACTTAATGATAACGATGGTCCAAGTTTGGTATAAAGTTCACTTATCGCAATGCATCTTTTTTTATTTCCAGCACCGTATTTCATAAAAATGTGCAATGAGTCACTAGATAAATGGTCCATATTTCCGAGCATTATAATTAATACATCAGTATCTGATGATTTAATTAAGATATTCAGATTGTCTTCATTTATTTGACAAATGTGATGCACAATTTTTGTGTCTGCCTCTTCGTGATTTATGCAGGACAAATTATCATTAATAATCGAAATAACTGAATTGTTTTTAACTACATAATTATGGCAATGCTTATAATTTACATTGATTACTGTATTCTTAATGTATGGCACCATTTCATCCGTCATCCAGTGTCTAATCAAAAATTCTACTGAGGCCTCTTTAAATGATTTATTTTTGAGTTCTTTAGTAAAATCTACCGGTCTTATCTGTTCTGGGCCTGTAATATTATAATTTATATTTCTGTTTTCATGACGTAGATTGCGCTCGTAATCTTTAATTGATGGAGTGAAGTATTGATCGAAAATTAAATCAACTCGTGAAGCTTTTGTAGCAGTTAAAGTTAACATAATTTGTTTTGAAATATTACCAAATGTATTCGGAAGATTTTTCATAGTATGTATCAGATGAAATCCATCAACAACGACAATATCGAAGTATGACGGTGTATTTGTCAGGTCTATTTCTTTTTCTAGAATAGTAACCAAAGCAGATTTTGCCGTTTTATGGATAGATCCGTCTATATGGCACAAAGACATTGGAGTTAGTGTAATCGGATAAGTTAGAACTTTTTCTAAATCAATATTCATATCTATTGATAATGCAAGCAATTGTCCAAATAAATTTCGTTGAACACGTATTTCATTAAGTTTGTCACGGAGTCGTGGTTTATGTTTGTTTGTTTCGACGGAAAAATTAATGATTTTGACTCTTTTTATTGGTCTTTCAAATCTCGTGTTGTCAATGGCACATTCTTGAATAAATTCTTCTTTCATGCTTGTGCCATTTTTTTCAAAATTTAATAAATAATTGTCAACATCATTTGAAGCTGCCTTTCCAGTTGCAATATTAAAAAGAGAGTCTGGATCAAACTCTGTATCAAAGGGATTTAAAAATTTTTCAAAAGTATTTATAAACTTTTCAAGCTGTTCAGCATTTTTTTTTATTGCATGGGATTCTAAATCTCAGTGATTTCACTCGAACCATTTAATTTTGTAACATTCATTGTATGAGAGATCACCGATGTTCTAATATCGTGACTTTTAGCCCAACGTTGTCTAGCTGAAATTGAGTTAGTAAAATGGACCACACCTGTCAATCTTCTGCCTGCGTCAGCGTTTATTGTCTGCTCTAGTGTTAAATCTATTGGTTGTCTCAAGAAAGACTTACTAGTACGTTTAATACCAAGGTATCCAGCATTCATAGCTCTATCTAAACGTGGATGAGTTTCATTTAATTTTAATAAATTATCATGGTATCTTTGTAACCATCGAGCGTAATTGGGCTGATTCGTGACAAAAAATAAACTTGATATTTTCGACAAAATGTATTTAAATAATTGAAAATCACCCGATCGAATACTGCGACTCAGTAAGCGATAATAGTTAACCAGATCAATATATGTCATGTAAAATTGAGCAGTTTTACCGAACACTCCTCTCTTACACCGGTCTTTGTGTGCACGATATGTGTTGATTATTTTTCTCAATTCTTTGTTTTCAAATATTTCAGCATTAGGCTCATCATTTATTCTCATCAATTGTGTGCGTGTGTCATCGTCTATTGATAGTCCTGTTTTTTTTAAAAAGAATTCACAATACATATAATATTTCAAGTCCTACTGCCATGAGTGGGTGCAAACGTTTACACCTGTTAAAGTGTTTGCCTAGAAGAAATCAGTCAACAGATCCATTAGCAATGATTCCACTGTCGACAGCAATTATCATTAAGCCACAGCCACTTATGAACTTCCCAATTGCTTTGAAGAGAGCCAACATAATGTGGAATGGTCCAAGATGTATAAATAAATTGTCATAGAACGGCCGCTCAACTGATTGGATTTGGAGGGCTACTTTGGCTATGGCTAAATCGTATGTAATTTCTAAGTAGGTACTCTTGATTTGGTTCTTTAGCGATGTTTTTACTTATTTTCATCGTTTCAATTAGGGGTGGGTCGTTTACGTTTTCACCGACAACGAAACGAAACCGTTGTTTTTTTAATGTTAACTAGTTGGTAAACTAGTTAACGTTTCAACGTTAATAGATCAACGTTGTTTTGGTTACTTTTGTTGAAGGAGTAGTTGGTCTATTTTTTTTTACTTTTTGAGGTTTAGGTCTGACCGGAGTATAATAAATTGTTATCATATTTATTTATTCTACTTCTTTTTTAATTATTTCATATTATTAAACGAGAAATAATTCCCAGTATTTAACTAATATTTAAAAGACTAAAAGCATACATTTAAGATTCCTGTATAAGCAGACACATTTTATAGTATTAAAGTTTATTTACTTAAGTTGTCAATGAAAAAAGGAAGTTATTTCTAAGAATTATAGAAAAGCAAAGAGACGGGGATAGTAGGTAGAAAGGCATGCTCAAGGGCGTTAGAAATCTATACATGTGTAGTGTACCTACACTTTACAATGAATATAATCGAAACGAGCATTTTTACTTTATTACCCAATATTTTGTATATTACGAATTATTATGCATATGTACAACAAAACTATTAAAACATAACAACTAAATACAAATTTTTACAATTTCTTTTTTTTGTAAAAATGAAATAAAGGAAAACTATACTAATCTTAAATACTATAATTACATTCTAAGAACGATTTTTATCTAAATTTATATTCAATATTTTGTATATTACGAATTATTATGCATATGTACAACAAAACTATTAAAACATAACAACTAAATACAATTTCTTTTTGTATTAATTTTTTTTTGTAAAAATGAAATAAAGGAAAACTATACTAATCTTAAATACTATAATTACATTCTAAAAACGATTTTTATCTAAATTTATATTTAAAAACATAAGTTTTTCTACTTTTTGTGTTGTCAATCTGGTCCTCCGTTGATTGACAATGAGCCCAGATTTCGAAAACATCCGCTCACATGGTACCGATGTTGCCACAATATTAGAATGTTTAATAAATATCTGAGATAAATTCGGATAAACATGGCGATGGTTTTTCCACCATTCAAGTGGGCAATTCCACTCGCCTGCAGAATTTTTCCTAGGTAAGAAGTCGTCACCCAGGTACATATCGATTTCTTTAATCGCCTTTGAAAGTGGCGTCCCTTGTGTGGTATTCTCTTCAATTATGTCGTCTAATATTTGCCATGGACTTAATTCGTTCGGTTCTTTTTTTGAAGATGTTGGCATCTGATGATGGTTGTTGTCGTTGCTTAAATTTAAACTGATCAAAGATGCTGTAAGACTTCTTACTTTTTCTTTGGCCCTATTTGCTTCGTTATGGTCTGCGAAGGCTTTCATTTTGAATCGTGGGTCCAAAAAAGTTGAAATAGCAAATGTGCCACTTTGCTCAATGTTTTTAAATCTTTCACTTAAACCTAATTTTAATGATTTTGCTACGCTAATTATATCCTGTTGAAGATCACTTGTTCCCAAAATTTTATTATAGGATTCCTTGAGGCAACGAGTAATCACGATGACGTAACTACCGGTTAGGTAATTTTGACCACTCATCATACTCGTTACCTCTTCAACTGGTTGTAAAATTTGGCACAACTGCAAAAGTGTAACCCATTCTTCATTTTTTAGGATTGGCAGCTCTCTACTTACTAGTGCTATTGTTGAGCGTACTGCTTCCTCCAACTCAACAAATCTTCGTATCATGTAAAAAGTAGAGTTCCACCTCGTCTCTATATCTTGAATAAGCCGTTTTGGCGATTCATTACTTTGTTGGTTTTGGTATTTGAGCAACCTCTCCGATGATGTGGTGCTTTTTTTAAAATGACCGACGATTGCTTTTACCTTATCTACTAAAGGTTTAAGCGGTTTCAACGCATCTTCAACAATTAAGTTTAAGGTATGCGCGTAGCATCCAAAGTGTTTAAAATCTAAATCTAATCTAAATCCTTAATTGCTTTTACTACATTGGCAGCGTTATCCGTCACTGCGAAGTTAATTTTTTTTCTTAAATGCCACTTATCCATTAACGCCCCAATTTGTTCAGCTATATTGGCTGATGTGTGGTTCCCGGAAAAATGGCAACATCCAAGAAGAGTTGTTTTAAATTGAAAGTTCTTTGTAATATAGTGTCCTGTTATGGCGATATAACTTTCCGTCACTCGCGAAGTCCAAAGATCCGTGGTGATGCACATAGTTGTTACTTCTTCAGCAAGTTGCACACTTACATCATCTTCGCATTTTGTGTACACCTCCTGTAATAACGAGTTCGATAATGTCTTTCTTGTTGGTAATTTGTAGCCAGGTATCCACTTGGCAAATTTATTAAAGGATCTTTCTTCCACCAACGAAAATGTAAAACTTAAAAATCTTATATAGACGACATTCTGTTTTATTACCCTTGGTCCCTTCCAATATTTTGGCTATTCTTAAAAACGACCTCTTGGGTGTCAAATGTAAAGTTTACTTTGTAAATTACAAAAAACGAAAAGGAGTCTTTATTATCTACTGTATATTTCATATTTTAAAGCGATGGAACAATCATAAAATCTACGTCCACGTAGCATCTTCAGCAGATGTTGTCCTAATATTCCCTAGTTCTTTTAACCCGTATAATAAAAGGGCAGAATTGTCATTTTTTAAATGAGTATTTCTATTCATTTTATTATTGAAAATTGTCTAACAAATTACATACTTCGTCTGCTTAAAATACTCCATTTTTACATACAAGTACCTAATGGTACTTAAAATGTAAAACAATGTAATCTTTCATCAATACTTTTACTTAAACACATTTTGTTCGCTTATGTTTGCGATAATTTCATTTACCTACTTTTAGTGTTATTTATAGGTACTTATTCGTAGGTAGAGAAAAGATAGAAAATACGAGTATATCTTGAAAAAGCTATGAATATTGTTAATTCTTGTCTTACATTAAGTTTCTACACCTTTCTATTTATTTAAACGGTTTGTAAAGTTTGACCCTTTCTTTGTATACGATATAAGTAGTAGGTACTACCACTGCATGAATCTTTTTAAATTATACTGGCAATAAGCGTTCTGAAGTTTTTATTCACATAATAATTTGATATTTAAAAAAATTAACAAAAAACATTTTTATGTTTAAATTAGCGACAACGTGTAGGTATAGTACAGTAGTTAAAATGATTTTTTATCTATTAAAAATATGATACCTATAATACGTAGGTATAGAGTTTAATAAATTAAATGATTTTAAGTCATTAATGAAAAAAGAAAAATACAGAGTAGTACAAAATCTGCTGTTTAATTAATAATGATTCATTTATTGAGTTAATTTATTTCGCCTAACTAGTTAGGTACTCGATGAACCTGTTACGGCAAACGTGCAGATTTTTTACATTTCTTCTTGTTTGGATCTCCTACAGCAAGAATAGCATAATACAATAGTATCTACCTATCTATATGTTGGCGGGAATTTTATTTGAGACTTGGGTAGTAGTAGTAAATGACCAAGGGTAAAGGGTATCATAAATTCTAAACGTAGCAGTATCTATTGGCTATTCACGTTTAAAATATATGAGTTTAGGCCAACTACCTACTATACCAAAATTCCATCTTCAAACTTGTGGTGGGTCGTTTACGTTTTCACCGACAACGAAACGACCGTTTTTTTTTTAAACGTTAATTAGTTGATAAACTTATTCCACCTTCATGCGCACCATAAATAACATCTCACTAATTTCATGCAAAATACAAGTTCAAATACAAATTTTGATACCGATATAAATTATAGGTACCTAAGAAGGTACTCCTTCATTATTTAATACTAATTTATTAAAAACAAATGCGTTTATTCAAGTACTAATGTTTTAAAAAAATAGAATAACCTTACTGTAAATGCCATAAACTATAACTCGCAAGTTTTTTCTTAACTACAAAATTGAACAATTAAAATTAACGAAAATAGTTTATCAAAATTACATATTGAATTATTTTTCATTTGTTTAAACGTTTATTCAAGTACTAATATCTTAAAAAAATTAAATAACCTTACTGTAAATGCCATAAACTATAATTCGCAAGTTTTTCCTTAACTATAAAATTAAACAATTAAAATTAACGAAAATAGCTTATCAAAATTGCATATTGAGTTATTTTTCATTTGTTTCTTTGTACCTTGATACCTTCATAATATACGCAATAAGGGTATATAACGTTATTTTATGCATTGTAGTTGCATTTTAAATTCGGTTCATTTCGTTTTTTTTTGGGTAGCGTTGAGCGTTACATTTTTAAACTAGTTGAACTTTCAACTGGTTTACCGACCAACGAAAAACGGTTGAAGCGTTCCTGGTGGAAAAACGGTTAAATAAACTAGTTCGTTGATTCAACGCCCACCACTAGTTTCAATGGCAACGCAATTTTTTGCTTAGAAATATTGATGTCTTCAACAACGTTATAGTTAAAACCAACCCACATTGGAGTGTTCGGAATCTTCAAAGCGTGACAAATCATCCATAATGTATCCAATTTTTGTATTTGAGGAAGAGTTTCAACATGTATTTGATTAATATGTCGTGGATCAATTAATGATAATAATGGTTCTAATAACCGTGGTTTTCTTGTGTAAAGAAGCAAATTTGGTACAAATGTGTCAAAAGTTCTTCTCCGTTTTTTGTTTTTGGCTGAAGGAGCATCAACTACACGAGTAGTATTTTCAGGTTCAATACAGGCATTCTCAGGTTCAACAAATACATTCTCATCGACATCATTATTTTTAGGTATTGTCTGATAAATAATACCTACAGTATCGCGTAATGTATCTTTGCCACTGGTGGTATTAACAAAACGATCGAAATTGTCAAATGCCACTCCAGTAAATAAGTCATTTGATAAAGAAATAGAGTCTGGGCAAATACTTGTGCGATTCGTTAAAGCAAAAGTTGCTTCCGTTTCTAATTCTTCTATAACGTTGTAACTACAGCAGTGACCGTATTTGTTAATAATTTCGACAACCTTACGGCTGCTCGTTAAACTTTTTAACGTCATACCCAATGTAATATGTTTTCCAGTTTTAATATTACCATTTGTCACATTATATACTAGTCTGCTGTTAAAGAATTACACTTTCTTTGAAAACTGTCGCTGTTTCTACGACGACGTTTAAAACCACCCAATACTGTGGAATAAAAATCTGTTATTTCCTTAGGATTTATGCATTCACCGTTTATTAAATCTGTGACTTTCAAATCTTCCGGCAATGGTAGAGGAGAAGGTGTAAATATGGAATACCATTTTGTTAAGTACAAAGAAAAAAATTTTTAATGCGCAGAAATAACACAAAATTAGGGAAAAGGTACTTTAGACAATTATACACCAACATATAAAAGCAAATGTGTAATAATCCAAAACATTATTACAAAAAAAGTTTAAAATGAAAAAATTACAAAATACACATTTAAAAAAAGGTGGTTTCAAATATGGAATGCGTTAAAAACCTAAGATATAATAAACCAATATATTGCTTACTTGCACCAGTCGCAAACATACTCGTCTTTTTCGGCGCTTGCACACTCATTATAGGCCCACATTGAGCACATTAAGTACTGAACTCATAATCCTCTCCTCTGATCAGTAGAAAACGCATGTTCGCAAAACATGCAATGAGCATCGTCCTTATTCGGTTGTAATTGTCCCGGCATATTTTCCAAATCATTGTCAGAATCGTCAAATTCTACATTCTTTCTTGAATCCTCGGATCCATCAGAAGAAAGTTCACTCTTTGGCCGTTTGACTATGTGATTTCACTTCTTTTGTGTTTGAGAACCTCTTTTTTGCTTCAAAGATTTTCTAGAAGACAAGTTTCTTTTAACGCCACGTGCTTTTGCTTCCTTTTCAGTTTTTTTACTTATTGACTCATTTAATTCGTCTTTGTAAGGTGAAGAAGTTATAACAGTCGATCCAATTGTCTTGCGGAGATATTTCGAACAGACAAGCTCCTGGGTTAGATATAGATCAACTTCTGAAGCAGAGTTTTGATTTTGCTCAATTCTAAAAGGTGCAGTGTCTTTGCATGGCGTTTTGGAACATGAAGGTTTTTCGACAACAGCAGTCAAAGATTTGGAGCAGGGAGGTTTGTCGAAAGAGGAGGTAGAAAGTTTTGTTGTTATAGCTTCTTGAATATTAACGCTAATTCCACTTTTCACCGCGTTTTGTTCCGCAGCATTTCCAAATAGTTCCATAATATCAAAAGGAATAAGAGTCCATCCAAAGGCTGGAGCTTGTGTGTTGAATGGGGGGGCCGACATAAAATGCTAACATGGTTATCCCTTGCAAGGTCAATAACGTCGATATTGCGAGTGTGGCTGTAGTGGCCATCAAGGATTAAAAGGAGAGGGTTTTCTTGAGTTGGTTTAGTGAACTGAATAAAGTGACGAAACCACTGGGTGAAAATATGGGATTGTACCCAACCTGATGGATGTGCAGTTCCTACGGACCCAGGAGGAGCTCCCTTCATAAGTTGCATATTCATATTTTTTCGAGGAAAAATAACTAACGGAGGGACAAAGTTTCCAGCCGCATTCATACAAAATATAATGGTAATCAATGCTCCCCTCTCTGCTGATGTTAATGAAGCAACTTGACGTTTACCTTTCAGCCCTATAACTGACGATACTTTAGTTTGGACGATTGTTAAACCTGTTTCGTCTACGTTATAAACATTGTGTGGGGAATAAGGCATTTGTTTTTCGAGGAGGTCAAAAAAGCCGTCAACTCTTTCTTTGCAAAAACCTACAGCTCTCGCAAATGATGTTCCTGTCGGCTTTCTTATTGATAACATTGGATGTCGCTTTAAAAACAAATCAATCCAAGCTCTGCCTGCTAATCCAGAAGTTGAAAACGGGTGTTTGATTTTATTCCTTATGGCCAACTGATAAGCCATGCGTCTCAGATCTGTCATCGTGAGCCCATAAAATTTGGACTCCATTATTAAAATATATTCAACTAGTATTTTTTCCAGCTCTGGTCCTAAAACACATTTTCTTCCAAGCTTGGTCACTGCAGCTTTATCTGGAGGAACTGTATTTATTTGACACAGACGAAAGAGCGTTGTGCGGGGAACCCCATAGGATTTGGATGCCTTTAGATATCCCATTGTTCTTTCTCTTACCGCCTTGATAGCCCTAGCCATGTCCTCTTCCTTGTACTGCTTTCTTTTATTATCGCAAGGCCGACGATCAGTACTTCGTGGCATCCTCAGAAAGAAAATAAAGAAGATAAAAATCTAATACAATTGAAAAAAGTTGGTGCAAATATGGAATACTGGTATTCCATATTACCAACAACCCATGTCATCAATATATAAGATTCGATCTAGTCTATAATTAAAAAATTTATAAATAAATACGTCATC